ACATATATATATATATATATATATATATATATGTGTGTGTGTGTAAAATTATTATTTTTTTTTTTCCAAAAGAATTTATTTCAAAAAATGACAGTGAATGAATTCCAAATCCCATATCACGACCAAAAACCGGATTGTGAAAATTTCGGGCGGGCAGCAGGATCATTTTCAGCATTTTCCCCATCAATGACAGAAAACAGATATGGACCTCAAATCCCATAACTGGGGTTTTGTTTTTTTGGATTCCCCCGCTTTCATCTCGCTGAGATTCAGCAGGGCAGCGAGTATTTGTGAGCGCTTGGATCCGACCTGTCAGAGCGTCCGGAGCCTTTGCTTTTATCTGCTGGCCGATACTCTCCACATCTGGAGGCCTTCCATCACTAAATCTCCACTGGCTCCGCTCCTTCTCGCCGCCGCCGCCTCCGCCTCCGCCCACTCACTCCCCTCCTTCCCTCGCGTACACTCAAACTGTTACAAGAAACAGAGCTGCTTGACCTTTTCGCTCGGCCCAGGAAAGCGGAGAAGCTTCGGCGTTTGCGCAACCGTGACGGCCGCTATTAGTATGCAAGAATAAGAGGAGGCGGGTCATTAGCGCTAATTCATGCAGGAAAGTGACAGGCCACTAAACAGTCTCGGTTCAAGGGTCAGCAAAGCACCCCGCTAGCTGTCCCAATGCATTATTGCGAAGAGGGGCGGGGGGGGGGGGGGGGGCATTTGCTGCTTTGCACGATTGATCAAGTTGGTGCGTGTCCTCGGTTGACAGGTTTGTTGTTTGGCATTCAAAAACATAGCCTATTAAATTTTGGCTTATTTGCTGAAAAGCTCCCCTATTTAAGCTTCCGGTGCCATCTGGTGGCATCTTAGTGCCAAGGCAACATGTTGAAGTGAGTTGAGGAGTTTCATTTCGGCATAGGTCGTGCTTGCACCGCCATCTTGTGGCAACCATAGGACATTACAAACCCTTTTGGGTGGAGCGTCAACTACTTGAGCATTTGTGGGGTTTTCTGCACAGGCAATCCCCCTATTTAGAGTGGATTCGGACCGAGCAAAAACCATCATACCGTGTCTATTTTTGTCATGTTCGGCGGTTGCTAATGGCGACAGCAGTGGTGGTACACCCATCGGTGGCCGGTCTCTGTGCGAAAGGACGCGCGGCTCTTCTAGTTGGCGGGGCTTCAACCTGAACTTCATCCTCAGAACCCCAAATGGCAGAAAGCTCTTGAGCGGCCGAAATGATATCTGAGGATCCAGGGAGAATCATGGGGGGGGGTTCGGGACGGGCAGACCCGGCACGTTCTCACGTGCAATAAATCCAAATGTCCAGCAGAAAAAGCAGCAGAAAGGTGAGCCCCTCAGAGAACTTGAAATAACTCAACACCGGCTGTCCCATTTGTGGCCGAAATGCTATCTGAGGATCCAGGGAGAATCATGAAGGGGGTGCTGGGGGGTGGGCAGACCCGGCACGCTCTCACGTGCAATAAATCCAAATGTCCAGCAGAAAAAGCAGCAGAAAGGGGAGCCCCTCTTGAACTTGAAATAACTCAACACCGGCTGTCCCATTTGGACGTTTTTTTTGTTTTTTTTTTTTTGGTTGGAGTCTGAATGACAGCTCCCGTGGAAGCGAGGCCGAGCACCCCGGCGGAGAGAAGACGTCGGTGGCTGAGCCGATCCGCCCTCTCGTGTCTGGATCCACCAAAGAGGCACCAAGTAATGGCTTCCTTATGGCCGTCCCGATGCAAGACTGATGGGCTGACAGAAGGTATGTTAAATATCTCCCTTCTTACTGCTACATTGGGGCTCCGACCTTGCTTAAAACAAGGGCTTAACAAGAGCCTCGCAGGGTCAGTTCCGAGGTAATCAGTCAGTCAGGGAGGGGGGGAGAGCCCGGAAGGGTGGGGGGGCGATGAAGCCAGGCGAGAAAGTCGCTGCTGCCGGTTGTCAGCGGCGGGAACTTTTGACATCAACAAAAGCACGCCTTTCGGCAGCGGCACAGATACTGGAGACCGTTTTATTTAACCCTCTTGTTCGGTTTCAGGTCAAAGCTTCGACGGTTAAAAGTGAAGATGATACATACGCATTGCATGACCTTATTAATTATGGCAAATATGAAGCTATCCAGCAGAGGCGAGGCGACGCCGTCAAAGCGGTTGGAAGCACACACCTCGGGTCAATCGATCCCCGAGACAAATGGAAGGCAAACTTACTTGAGAACAAAGCAGCATCACCAGCTCCACCACCGACGTGCTTGACTTCATGCACACCAGACCTGGAGAGACAATGGGGAAAAAAAAAAAAAACACGCAGTTAGCCTCTACATATTGCATTTTCCCTTTTTTTTTTTTTTTTTTTTTTGGATGTAGTGTTGTAGAAGCTAGACGACACTTTGTCAACAGCACAGCGTGTGCAACACACTTTAATATTTTCTTAAGCCGACACAAACTCCAAAATATTGACTGGATTTCAAGCTCAAATGTCAATCTCTCTCCTTCTTCCAGTTATTTTTCATGTGGTCGAAACAACACTGCAGTTTTTGCAACACCCCCCCCCCCATCCACACACACACACACACACACCAAAAAACAAAACAAAAAAAAAAAACAAGAAGGCAACTCATTTTGCGCTCATTAAAGGCCACCGAGACTGGAAGAAGTTGTCGTCGTCTCCGGAATGACAGGCCGTCACTCAGAGGAGAGTGAACACGTCGGCTCTTTGGTAAAGCCGCAGAGGCTGCGCCGTGATGGCTTCATGAGGCCGGCCGGCGTCAGCACCCTCAAGTGTGTCACTTTTGCAAATATCGGCAGTGTTTCATTTCGCTGGATTTGGTTGATGACGTTGCCCCGCCAGGGAGATCGCCGTCATCGTGTCTGCAAACTGGCCGAAGACAATTATCGATATTGATTGAATTAAGAATTAATTAACAGGTTGTGGGGAAAAAAAAAGTGACCTTGACTTTGTGTTTGTATTCGCGAGTGCCTTTCCTAATTGCACAGTTTGAAAACATCCAATAAAATTGAATGCAATGAAATAAATTGTCTTGCCGCCAAGTTCACATCTTTGCAGTTTTTTTTTTTAGGGGGGGGCGGGGCTTTTCCATCATGCACTTCATGACATTTTTTTTCTGACATGAAGCTATTTTTCAATGGACACCGCTGGCGTCTTCTTCTCAGCACGCACTTTCGTAGTGCCAGTGGGTAGAAAAAAGGAGTTTGGTTTCGACGGCAACATGAACGGATGGTGGCCAGATGTTGTGAAGTTTGCCGCCACCATCTAGTGGCGGCGCGTCCGAAGCCAACGCTTCAACGTAGCCGTCCCTTTTTTGGCCTGGCCGAGGCGGCCCTAAAGGAGCATACCGTAAAGGCTCTGAGACCAAGTGACCCTTCTCTTGTACACGGGGGCGCTGCCGCCGTCGACCTCTTGTTACGGCGGTGACACGCCGCGCCGTAAGTCAGCACCGTGTGACGCGGGAGTCGGGCGGTCGTCTGACCCCGGCCTCGCGCCGGTAGACAAACTAAATGCGTTCTCTCGAAACAGGGAGCTGCCAGTCTTTTCGGCGTAAACAGCGGCCTGGGGTGAATGCGGCATTGTGGGGGTCGACGTCTCGGGCGGCGGCCGTCACAACAGCGGCACTGTTGGCGCGTCGGCCACCGGCTCCCGCTCGGCCGCAGCTCAGCGTAATTGCAACAGAGACCGCATGTCTGCGGGGGGGTGGGGGGTCGGTGAGGGGAAATTGGGGGGGGACCTGCGGTGGGGAAGTGAGAGGTCAGGGTGAGGCAAAAAAAGGGCACCAAGGGGCACAAGGGGGGCTCGACCCCGGATAACGTTAGGAGTGATGGATGGCTCATAATTACGAGTAAACGGTGCGCCTGTGCACCGACGCACAGTGTTCCAACTGTGCGATCCAGAGTGGTGGAGAAGGACGGAAGGAAGTTGGAAGGGACTTCGATCAACAACTGCAAAGATTAGCGCAAAAAAATATTTGAATTTGAACGCGATAAAAGGGCCGCAGTCGCTGCATGCCGTGTCGCTGCTAACTAGCGGCGCGAGGAGGCGATCAACTAACTCAGCGGTGCTTCACTTTGTCAGCCTACTGACAGATCCGAGTGGAAACACACATACTCAGATTTGTCCGGGCGTTGAGAACTTTTTTTTTTTTTTGCTAGCCGCAACAGGCAGAAACACAAACCATTGGGATAATAAACGCTTGGATTGACTTTAGGGTGAGGGTTGGAGTTTGAAATATGTGTGAAGGAACGTGCAAAGACAGATCAATTCAGCTTCGGTGAAGTGTGTTTCGCGTTACTTGGGCTACAAGGTCTCCGCCGTGCGCATACGGAGCAAGACAGCGGGGAGAAACCGACGGCACTGCCGCCACGTCAAGACGTGCTGCCGTGGCTAAATCTGTTCAGATGGGGCTCGGGGATTTTCATCCTGTTTAGCCACATTGGCTAAAAAAGGAGTCATGACCCCGGGGGGGCAACCCCCTAATGTTATTAAACGTGAGGACAATGTGTAATTTTGGTACTTGAGCAAGAAACATGAAATCGGCGCACATGATTTGCCACGCGGGCCACATAAAATGAGGTGGCGGAAAGTGAGTTTGACACCAGTGGTTTACATCATTTTGACTTCCAGGGTTTGAGTTTTGTAAACTGGAGAATGAGATCGGCTTGTGATAAAGATGAAAAAAAAAAAAAAAAGTATGCAGGACGTGTTTTGGGATGAGAAATGGAATTCAAAATGTGACCATCAAAATGCAAGAAAAAATGTGTTGGGATCTGCTGTTGAGTCCTGGAAGCCTGCAACTTCTCTCCAGCACAATGACTTGAATTACCCCCCTGTTCCAAGTCAAATGACCTCATTCGCTGCCGTCTCTCGGGCCAACTGGAATCCAAATGTCTGAATATTTTCCTCGAGAAGCTTTTAAACCAGTAGGTGTGGAAGAGGGTCTCGCCCAGCTCGTCTGTGCAATTCAAGCTTCCGCAAAACTCTCATGACAAACACAAACCAGTAGATGGCGCCACTGGGGTGGAGTTGAGGGGCTTGTCACATTCTTGAGGGTGAGAAACGACAACACGGTGGAAGAATGTTCCGCTCCTTCTGGACATTTGGAACGCTCTATTTGGATAATAACGTTTCCAAATGAATACAGTTTACATTGAGATGTAGCTCCTCCTTCCAGAATTTTTGGCTAATTCTAATCATCCCAAATTCAAGTTCCACAAGATAAATGTTCAATATTTCAACAATGCAATTAATTGCACGGGATTTCAGTGCCAAGTTGGCGCTTCAGCATTCACACACTAGTTCGACAGAATTTATCGTCTGTGCTTGCTGGATTAAGCTCGTTCCCTGGGTGCGCTAATCCCCATTTATACACGTGCACATTTATGTCAGAAGATAATAAAAAAACTGCAAATAATTCTGAGAACCCCCCAAGGTACACCGCACGGGGCACTGTGGGTTGAGGAAGCCCAGTTTAAGAGCAACCGTTTCCACGTTTGCCCTCCAGCAAGCAAAGCAAGAGCATGAAAACAAATGCCATTTATTCAATTGCCATTATTCAATTCCGCTCTCTGTCTGTCCAGCTGAAAAATAAACGGTGAAAAATGGAATAACTTGGAATGGGGATCAAACGGGCCGATGCGAGGTAACGTATTGATTTAAAGGCCATTCTTGAACTCAACGCGGCACACAAAGAAGCTCGACAAAGTGGGTCAAGTGTCATCCTTTCTCTCTGGCGGCGCTTATTTTTAGCCGACATTCAATCGCTGCACTCCAGCTGATATTGGTTTAGCTTTGTGTTAAACAGAGAAAAATATTCCGATTCAGGCAGTATTTAAAGAACACACGTGCACATGAGCACACATTTATCCCCATCTGGGACGACACACAGATAAAACGTCTGCAAACATTCACACAAGCGGGGTGGTAATAGCTGTCTGTGAAAAGATGCCAAACAAAAGCAAGTTTTACACACACACACACACACACACACACACACACACACACACGCACACACACACACACACACACACACACAAATGGCTGCTTCAAAACTAAAACCACCAAATTTCATTTCAATTTTCGAACATGAGAGCCTTGGAAGTTTTCCGTGCGTCTTATGATGTGTGCACGCTGGTAGTATAAGACAAGCAAAAGCTCAGCTCATCCCTTGGCTTCTCAGTACAACAGTAATGTTAGTCGTTCTTCGAATGAATGCTCATTGTTAGCCCGTGTGCTAGCAAATCTTTTTCGTCAATTCTCTCTTTCTAAAAATGTGTCTGTCGCAAGGCCGTGTGGATTTGCACCACATGCAGGGATCCGCTACTCAAATCCCATCCGTCAATTTTTGGAAAGTGTAACTTGATAGCTGGCTGATGAAGTGCTGCCTCCCCCAATGAAAATTCATGTGTTGCATCTTGTAAGGGGCCTTGTTTAAAAAAAAAAAAAAAAAATGTGTGATGACATCACACGTGGGCGTACCTTCAATGAGCAGCTCCTGTCCGTGACTGCACTGCCTCCCCCAATGAAAATGCATGTGTTGCATCTTGTAGGGGCCTTGTTTAAAAAAAAAAAATGTGTGTGATGACATCACACGTGCGCGTACCTTCAATGAGCAGCTCCTGTCCGTGACTGCCCAGCAGGGTTCGGGACAGGAAGGGCGCAAAGTCGACAAAGATTTCCCTCAGCAGTGGGGCGACCTTCTCCAACGCTCGCTCCAGTTTGGAGGTGATACTGCAAAGGCCAACGTGGCAACATTCAGCATACATTTAAAATAAGGATGCTTTTTTTTTAAGTCCTTTTTTGTAGCTTCGTGTAAATTTCGGTAAATCACAATTTGTTTTGTTTAATAATACGGTCATAAAATATCAAATAATCTGTCGGACATGACCTATTTTCATTCAATATTTATCATTAATTTTCATAATGCTGGATCCTTTTATTTATTTATTTATTTATTTTTTAAATAGTCCTTCTTGTGCCTTTGTGTAAATTTCAGTAAATAAAAATTTGCTTTCTTTAATAATACAGTCATAAAATATCAAATAATCAATCGGACATGACCTTTTTTCATTCAATATTTATCATTAATTTTCATAATGCGCCACAAGTAATGCATGAATTTGTTACTTTGTTTACTACATCTATTTTCAAAATGAAATGAGAGATTTTTGTTCTTTTGTTGTTGTTGTGAAACTGAGCCATCATTGAGTGACCTATTTTCATTCAATATTTATCATTAATTTTCATAATGCAACACAAGTAATGCATGAATTTGTTACTTTGTTACTACATCTATTTTCAAAATGAAATGAGGGATTTTTGTTCTTTTGTTGTTGTTGTTGTGAAACTGAGCCATCATTGAGTGGCGGGTTACGCCAGGTTACGGCGGGCACGGCTGCCATGGCAACTGATCCCCGATTTGTGCAGAGGGACACACGTGAGTGCAGAAAGAGCCCGGCGGGACTGTCACAAACTATTAGAGCCGAGGGGAGAGGAGGCAAGGGCACTCGGGCACAAAACACACACACACACACACACACACACACACACACACACACACACACACACACACACACACACACACACACAAACACAATGCAGACCAAATTCTCTGCAGAAAAGGCTCAAATCCATCCAAGGCTCATTCCAGACTTGGCTGACATGCCACCACCGAACGAGAACATTTCACGAACGACAGAGACATGTTGTGTCACTTCAGGCCTGACCGATTCATCGGTTGGCCAATTTCATGGGTCAATTATCTCTCTGAAAAATAGCAAAAAAAAAAAAAAAAAAACGTTCAAAAATATAATTTTCTTTTTTTTTTTTTCATCACAAGTGAACAATTACAACATAAGACAAATCCAATGACACCCCCCCAGACCTCAAAAAATGTTCTGCTTATTTTTTTTTTGTAAAAAAGTTCCAGACTTGCCCCCCCAACGGTGGCATTTTGCTCCTAAGACTTACAGTGTGACCCCCTCACATTTCAGGTTAGGGGCCAGTGGGCTCCCAGTGAAAAAAAAAAATTTAGGTTGGTTTGGAGGTATTAAGACTTAGGAGACCAAAAATAAAATGATTTTAATTTTTTCCCTTTATCATCCGACTAAGCAGTTATTCCAAAATATTTTTTTCAAATAGCAAGTAGCCGCAGAAAGCTCTTGAAAATGTTTTTTTTTTTTCTCTTTTGTCCCCATCTTATGTTTAAAATAACAGATAACATTAGCTTGATTTTGTTGCCGACCTTGCTTCTGTTGAAACATTTTGGATGACATCTTTTACGTAGTAGCAATGATGCTCTTAGTTCGTGTCTCTGGGCATGTATGCAAGCTGTGTGACTCGAAGCGTGTCGCTATTTCCAGAAAGAGAAGCAAAAACCAGGAGCGACATGACTCAGCAGTAATGAACTAAATCGACGGCATGCCAAATGAAGGTCATCATAAAGAAAGAGTGCGCTGTGGACGCTCGAGCTGGACGAATCAAATGTTATGATGCCTTATGATAAGATAAGATAACCTTTATTTGTCCCACACTGGGGAAATTTGAACGGCTTTTCTCGAAAATGTTTGATTTCAACAAAGGGTCCATTTTCCCCCCGAAACGCTGTTGACGAAAATTGCTCTTTCCGGTCGGTGAAACTTGACTCGAGGATGGTTGTTGCTCGTACCTCATGTTCTCAAGAGTGTCTTCGGGCATGGGCGCCACCGTCTGCACAGCCGGGAGGTTCTTCCTGGTGGCGCCGTTGACGAGGGCGGACGAGGACGACGTCCCGGCGCCGCCGGCGGAGGCATCGATGGCTCCTGAACACGGCAAAGACGACAGTCACCATTTCACATTCCAATTGACAAAAAAAAAAAAAAAAGAATAAAAAATACAATGAAAGAACACATACATGGGATGTCATATACACGTGAGCAAAGGGGTTGGGGAAAAGAAATTGACTCAACTTCTTCGCAAGCAACTCGATATTTTTTTTCTTATGAGGGCTGGAATGGATGACTCGAATTTCCAAAATGAAGTGATGTGACGTGATGACAAACTCGCAGCCGGATCAGATCTGGATTCAATTTATTTTCAGCAACTTGTTCGCCCGCACATATATTAGAAGTTTTATTCAAACACTCCAGGAGATTTTGACATATTGACCCCCGCCCCCTCGTCTTTTTTTTTTTTTTAATGCTTTTTTTTTACCCGAACTTAACCGGATCAGATCTGGATTCAACTGACTTCATCGGACTGAAGATGTCCTGACTGACTCCCACATCAACGTCACCTCCAGATGCAGTGAAGTGCTGCAATGGTGCCGCAGCTTGAACGGGAAGAACCGCCAAGCGATCCAGTGCTACCCTGGACCTGAAGCGGCATCAGATGTTTGACATGGTGACAATAAAGCATGTTGTGCTTTTCGGAAGCGGGGGAAACCCCCAAACAATGTGAGATGACGGGGGGACGGAGGGGTGGGGGTGTCTGCGTGAACGCCTCTGGCTTTTCGCTGCATTGGCCTCATTCCTACACAGGCTCACTGAGGAGAGGGGAATTTTTTTTTTTTTTGCTAATTTTCTATTTATTTATTTATTTGTTTGTTTGGACAGCTTCGTGTTAAGTTGCGGGTCAAATCGACCCAGTTAAGACGCTTATCAGCATGAAATCCAATGGTGACGGGTCCATTTCACATTTCGGCAAAGTAGGCATAATGAGGCTGTAGAAAGAAGCCCTTTCGGAGAATTCATCTTGCCCCGGGTCAAAGTGACCCGTTAAGTGAATTGCGAGGAATTGCGAGAAGAAACCCAGCAAGAGGATTTGGGGGGGGGGGGGTGCAAACAAAAGGTAACGGCGCTCCTCATGGTGAGACTGCTGAGTGAAATGTCAACACCGAAATATACGGCGCACATATCAAGCACGGAACACAAGTGCATTCGTGTGGAGGCAAGTGTGTCGCTGGCTTGCAGGAGGGGGAATTCTGCAGGCTCAAACAAAGCTTGTTATTATCCGGCTCCATGCGAGACCGCCATGGGGAAGTCTACAGCGCCATCTGGTGGAGTTTAGGAAGAAGGAAAATGTCTTTTTTTGGGGGGAGTGGGTAAATGCGGATCACATGGTTGTTTGTATGTGTGGTTTTTTTTTTCTTTTTCTTTTTTAAACCAAACACGTTCACGAGTCAATGTGGCCCTTTTTAAACCCGCATCCACATTCACAATTGGTCTGAAATGAATTGATTCCACGATCCAAGGAAAACAGATTTTGACTTTTGAAATTGATTTATTCATTTTTTTTATGACTGCACAGCTACTGTATGCGCATTCTTTGCCATAATACAACTGCTTCGAATGCTTGACCCCTGGATAAATGTGCAAAATTTGATTCAAATTGGTGAGAAAATCGAGCAATGATGATTGACACCAGAATCGGACAGATTCTCACTGAAATTTGACCAGCAGAGATCTGCATTCAGTTTTGACCTTTTTTTTTTGTTTGTTTGTGCATTCTCACCCACGTTTAACTGGATTGGACCAGGAGGGATTTCAATTTGTGGCCCCTTCTGAGCATTGCAAATTGGAACCAAATCAGAACAGGGAGTGAAGACATTCTGATTATTTTTTTCCATTACCTGACTTGATCTGGAACCGATCAAGTTTCAAATTGGTTTGATGTGACAGTTTCTGACCCAGCAAATCCAACAAATACTTTCAAAGGAATTTGTTATGGCGTGTGGATTTTCACCGAAAGTGAATTGAATCAGATCTGGATTCAATTGGGTTTGACTGCAAATCCTCACCCAACGCAAATTTGATTCAAAGTGGATTGGATGTTTTCAAACAAACGTGCGTTTGGAGTGTGGACTCCAAATGGAACTGGATCAAATCAGGATGGAATTTGCTTGGCCATTTTCAAAAATCGGACCGGCAACATAACGGGAGTGTTCAGGGAGCTGGCAGCAGACGTACCCATGGTGTTGATCATGCTCTTTGGATTGCTCGAGGTAGCCGCAAAGATGTTGGGCGTCACCGGGCCGGTAGCGGGGCTGCCCCCCGCCGTAGTGACGGCAAGGCCTCCCGGGGGCGGCTTCTTCGCGGGCACCACCACGCTCCTGCGGGTCCAAACGCCACAACATCACAATCTGACACGCATCAAGCTAACAGCATTTTTTTTTTATTTTATTTGTTTTATACATGCTGCCCACCCCACTACCCAAATAAAAATCCAAACACGAAATGCTTTGACTACATTTGGATTATAATGCATAGACGAATCTTCCGCATTTGCTTGATACATTTTCAAATGAATCTTGAGTCACTTTGACCCGCGACAAAACATGAAGCTGAGACAAAGTATTTTGGAAAATGGGCTATGCTATGAAAAAAGTATTTTTTTAATTTCTCACATTCAATTAGTTGCATCTACGGCTATAGAGTAGAGACACAAACACACACACACACACACACAGAGTATAAAGAATGGAAGTGCTGTCTACATGTTCAAACTGCATTCTGTTATGGTGGCTTACAATCATACTAAATAATCACTTTTTTTTTAGGAATAAAGCCTCCGTCTTGTTTTTGATGAACACAAAAGCCTCAATCAGTCAATCCATCCATCCATCCAAGGATACACGAGAGAAAGGTCATTTTATGGCCGCCGATCTGTGATGCAATCGCTCGTGACTGGACAATGATCAAAGACAGGAACTTTTGTACTCGGCGCATCTGCGTTTGCTCTTTGGATTTGTGTGGATGTCGGATGACAGCTGATAGCCAGCTGAGGCCCGTTTGGGTCTGTAAGCGAAAAGCTTGCGTCTGTCGGAGGCCCGTCTCTGGAAATGCTCAAAGCCGGACAACGCACAATCCCTCCGTTTCATGTTGCATGTTACAGGAAACGCTTGCGATGTGACCCCGGCATGTACAGCAAAGGAAAGAGTACGGCTGGGTGAGATCTGGTTCACGTTTTGTTTTGTTTTTTTGTTTTATTTTTTAACAAATAAATAAACACATCCCCACCAAATCTTTTGATGAAAAGAAAAAATAAAGTTTTGCTTTGTCAACTGAATTTTAGCAATAAAAACAAAATTTGGTGGACATAAAAGTACGCGTGAAAAAAGTCTCCAAAGGCCATTGTTCGAAACAGAACAGGAATCCTACAAAGTTCAATCGGTAGCGCCCCCTGGAAAGTTGGAGAGGAAAAAAAAATACATTTCATCCCCTGACACTTATCAACACAAAATAAACATGACGTGGATGAGAAAAGGCTGCCCAAAAAAAGTCTCGAGGACCCATGCCAGAAATTCAACAGGAAGTCGGCCATTTTGGTTCAAAGTGGCTTAGTCGCTGACTCGAAAGTTCCCGCAAATGAGCGCCATTCGGAAGCAAGCGGGTGACGCCGAATTGCGAAGCTTTTGAGTCCACTCTGCAGAAGACGTTTGCCGATCATCGTGTGGGTGCGAGGGTTCGTTGGGCCGACGGTTTTCATTATTCATAGTTATCTTGTGTTGCTGAAACCCATTCGGAGCCCTGCCTGACAACCGGCTGACGACAAACCCAAAATTGCACTAATTTTGTTTTTCTTCTCCTCGGCGCCGCAGATCAAAACTGCCAACAGCGAGTGAGAGAAGGAGCTTGAAAGCTCGCCAAAGTACGCATCCTCATCTCCAGAGATTTTTTTTCCTTTTTTTTTTTTTTGCGCTCTGAAGCTAACTGATGACAAGCATCATTTATCTGGCGGCCCTTTCTTCTGCTCTCCTCATCGACAGCTATCAGAACATCTCCCGGAGACGAGGGAACTGCTGGAGGAACGCCGCCCGCGCCCCCCCGCTCGCTCACATTTGACGTGAATAATTCATGAGCCCGCCGCTCATGAATCATGCATGGCTTATCTGGAGCATATTTTATTAATAGGATTGTCTTAATTGAGTTGCGCCGAATAAAGCGGGGATTAATCTGGGAATGAATATTAACGAGGCCCACGTCGCACCGTACAACATATCCGTGTGGGCGCTTCCTTTCCGCGGTGCCCGTTTCACCTCATCCTGGCGTGTTTCCTTTCGTGATACAAAAGGAAGATAGAGAGGGGAGCTGAAATTGAAAGCAATTATCATTTGGCTGCATCGATCCTAAGCCCAAATATGTCACGAGAGGCAACCTCGGGGAGCTCATTCGGAAGGAGGACTGCGATATTTCGACTGGACAAGCACCGCATTCGGACTGGACGACATGTGGGGGTATACGGAACCTCAAAGGTTGGGAAAGACCCCAAGTGAGCTTTTCTCGACTGCTTTTTGAATGACGTCAAGCAGGTGTTCTCGGCGCGGAGTCATTCACCTCGCGCCCATTTTCCTTCCTGATGTCGTCAAGTTCAATCTGCGTCCATCCCGACAGCCCAATGAAAGGCCGGCGGCGCATTTGTCTGACAGGTGGCAAACAATCAGACACGGCGAACGGGAGACGCCAGACCAAGTCATACGGCGAGACGGCGTGTGTGAAAGGGTTTCAAAAACGATACTCTCGGCTGTAGAAACTCATTTGGGGCTGCCACGTCGCGTTAGCGCCGTGAAGGCTCAGGCGGACGCGGCCGCACGGACCGCTTCTGTTTAATCTGTCATCAACACCCTGGAGACCCCCGCCACCTTCATACCCCCCCAAACCGATTCATCAGGCTCACCTCGGAGGCCGCGCATGCATTACAAGCCCCGCATTGTTGCTCGCACGTCAGGATGGCATACGAATCGGTTGGGGGTTTCGGGTTTACGTGGGCCAATCTTGCATTTTCTTTGGCCTTCGTGTATAAAGTGCACTCGAATGACAGGTGGAGAGGACTCGAGTCACGGGATTCGACGTAGACTCGCATTCAAGCTACAAAGAAAAACGAACGGCTACAGGGGATATTGTCATCTGGCTGCCTGAAGATGTCCACATTTCAGCTTACAAAAATTTGAGGATTACACGTTGTGGTTTTTCTCGCTAATCTTTGCCTGGTGAGTCATTCAAGATGTTTTACAAGCAAAAGTTCATTTTAGGACATTTGAGATTGCCTTAAATGAGCTTATTACATTTAAAAAAAGTAATTAATTACTGTAATTAAAAAAATGCATGAATTACTATTGTCTTTGCGGCAGTGGACGAATGGGCACGTTGCTATCATGAATCATGAACATCAAATCAAAAAAATATAAATATTTTTCTTGATTTGATGTTCATGATTCAAAAAAACCAAATCAGAATGATTTCACCTGTTACACGGTGCTTCGGGTTTTCCCCTCCCCTTGAATTCTGAAGTAATTGTTTGGAGGACTAATTTTGTTGAACGACACGACTTGACGAGTCTTGTCAAGGTTGAGTCAACGAGTTGTCGTCATCAACGCGTGAGCGTAAAGCATTTTGGTGTTTTCCTGCCCCCGGTACCTGTCAAAGGAGTGAAACTGCATGGGCAGGGCCCTCTGGGCCTCGGCCGCGAGGTCCGGGCAGGAGACCGTCTGTAGCCCCGCCTCCACGCCCTCCATGGGCGGGGCCACCAGACTCTTGAGGATCTCCTTGACGTTGAGCCCCGAGGACGAGGGCGGCGGAGGCTCGGGGAAGAGCTCGCCGGCGGCGCGGTCCGGCCCGGGCTCACGGCCGTTGATTACGCTGACGAGCCCCTCGGTCGGGATGCTCGGCTCGCTGTGGGGAAACGATCGCTCCTCTGAAGCTGGAGGAAGGTCTGGAGGGTCCACAAATGTCTGCGTGGCTTCTGAGGGAGACCCGAATAAGAGCGCAGAAACATAAGTCCAAGACTGACAACATTTTTAGAAATGATAAAATATTTGAGACTCATATATCAATTGCATTATACACTCACCGTCCATAACATTAGGAACACGGGGTGCAACATATCAAATATATTGACAGAAAAACACATGTTGCACACGATAACCCCGCCCCTCCCGCATGTGCAGGTATTTGAGTTTATTCATGTGGCTATTGCAGAGGTTTTTTCCATTCCCATACTGTGCCCCTCCTTTATAGATGCGACGTTTGGGATGTGTTTTTCCCCCCTCTCTGTCCTTGTTTTTCTTTTTAATCAAGTAAAATCAGCTCACCATTTAGAGACGGGACAGGCTTCTCCATTCTGTCTCCCTCTGTTGGCTACTGTCATGTCTCTTCGACGAGTTGCAACTATTAAGAGTGAATTTTGTTGCATGTGCAATGGCAATAAATTCGATTCCATTCCACTTATACACTCACATATATTGAGATGCAACAAATATGGCAGGTCATATTTGCACCCTAATGAGGTTAGCGGGGCCGGGGGCAGCCTGCGAGTGGTCCGCTCCGAATCCCAGACAATGGTTTGTCTCTCAGAGTGGGGCGAATTCCCCCATTTTCTGTCTTCCAGCAACCTCTTTGATCCCATTTCACTCTGGCAGATTGCTCGGCTAATGGCCGCTGACAGACGGTGGCTGGAAAGAACCGGCCGGCCGGGATGTGCTTCGCCTTCCACCAAAACCAGCAAAAGAGGAGCTGGGCAATGAGCGACTGCCTTGTCGTCACTTAGCTTGTACATGCTCGTTTTTTTTTTTTTTTTTTAAATTAATCCCTGGAGGCGGTGTTGACTGGCACGCAGGATTTATGTCATTTATCGGGCAGCCAACGCGCGACCCAATATGGTTTCTATCTCTATCACCGCTCTTTTATACTCCCGTCGTTCCAGGACGCCCTTAACGGCCCATGCTGTCCTGCCCCAATGCGCTCCTTTTCTTGCGCACTAAACAAAGAGAAAGCCACAGGATGTCTTAGGATTTGAAATATATCTTTTGTGACACCAGTCCTGGAACCTTTATGATACTCTCTCCTATATTATCACCATTTTTTTGGTCTTGCAGAGCAACGATGTCTCCCGATGAGCTGGTGTACTTGGGAGTCCTAGCAGCCTCCATCCCGCTTGGATTCCTTTTCCGTTACCTCAGTGAGTGTCTTTTGGAGTCCTTCCTTGTTTTTGGACAGTTGTAATCTGTCTAATACAATTTGTCCAGTGGCGTTTCATTGTTCACTGCTTGGCAGGAGATGGGAGTTGGGGTCTTGATGATATCGTCTTTTGGTTTCAGGTCCTCCTGTAAAGCAGGGGGCTGCCATGCTTCTGGGCCTCTCCATTACTATCGCCACCTGTCAAGTGCACACCCTCCACTCGCTCGTGACGGTGATCGGAACGTGGATTATTATCAAGAGTAGCTGGAGGTACCTGGAGTAGTTTATTTATTTATTTATTTATTTATTTTTACATTTTTATTTATTTTTGTAGACCACCGGGATATAGTGGAGTCTCAAAATATTTGAGAAGAGTAAAATATAGCACATGATTTAAAAAAAAAAACAAAACAAAAACAGACCATGCATGTAGCAAAATGTGTTCTGTTCCTTTTGGCCATAATTCTACGAGGAATGTTTGGCGCAAACACGCCACTGCTCATCAACCAATGAACACCATAAGCTTAGTGATGACAGCCTCATGCTATCTTCAAAGTAGCCGTCAGTGTTCGCGCATAACCATCAGGCTTCTGTTAGAAAGCAAAACAATGTCATGAAAAGCCTACTAGAACATCTGAAATGCGTTTGTGGTAAATCAGAGGCTTTGTCCATGGTGGCATGTGTGTGCCAAGGATGTGGTTTATCTTTTTTTTTTTTTTTTTTTTTTTAAATTAATCCCTGGAGGCGAAATTCATTTTGGCCTACGCGCGCCACAATGTACACCGCCTGACAACTGGATTTTCTCATGCCGAAGTAGATTCAAGCAACGTGAGGGTGCGCTACCTTGTGACAATGATGGAAATGACAGTTTGAGCTGAGATGTTTTTTCTTTTGTTTTGTATATCGATTTTCTGTTCCACATTTGTGATTTGAAGACTGTACAGTTCATATTTTAAACGTTTTAACGTTTTAAAATAAACCATTAATTAAATACCTCCATACATATTTTTTTTAGTAACTTCATTTGTTCTTCCTCCTTGTGGGTGATTTGGAGACTATACCGTTTCTTATGTAAAGACAAACAAATCTAACAAAAGAAGCCAACGACATAAACCACATTCCAACAACATGCGCGGCAGGTGAATGGACAAGCGTGAACATTCGGAGAGTTGAGGACTCACCTGCAGCAGCGGGCGCGTTAGCATCCTGATGGCGTTGCGCACCGTGGCCCGGCTTGGCGCTTGACCTGCCCGTCTCGCGCTGAGGCTCCAGGATGTCGCGGTACTTGGACACCATCAGAACCGAAATGAAGTAGACCACGGCCAGAGCCAGGAACTGAGCTTGCTTGCTGTCGTCCTGCCGAGGAGAGTCAGAAGACGATGCCTCACATTGCTCTTGAAACATCGTAGAAAGGGTTCTGTCAGTCGTCATCTGTACCTGTGGGTAAAAAACAAAAAAA